ACACCAGCTGTCCTTTATGGTGTGTGAAAATTCCATGATGAATGGACCAATAGAAATGCTCCAAAATCACTTGGAATAAAACCTCCCTCTTTACATTAACTTACATTAAAAAGTAAACACGTTTTTCCCCTTTCCTGTAAACTTACTACTTTGGAGATACTTGTTTTTATTTGGACAGTGACGATATATACATATATGTACACATATAGTTTCTGATTACTATTGTTTGAGCATAAAGAATAAAAACAACGGAAAGTGTATAGAAACCTTTGCAATAGAAACAGCAGTATGAAATGTGAAGAGCTGGTGAACTGCTTTGTCCCAGATGCCGTCCACTGGCATTTGTGTTCCAGGCAGCTGTGGTGTGATGCACCTGCTGCTGGTTAACTAAGAGCAGTGTGAATGTGACGAGCCCTCGGATCAATTATGCATGGAGAGCGAACTGTAACACGCCAAACCTCTTAAACAATGCCGCCGAAGAACTGCTAGCAGGAGCAAGGCTGAGCCATCAAAAGCAATGATGGAGTGTAATTGATGTTGAAAGGCCAAACCAGATAAACCACGATACGCTGTATCAAGCTCTACATTTCGGTCAGTATTCTTAGTGCATTCAATCCAAATTAGTGCGAAATCTACACAAATGCTCAAAGGCCACGCTTTATTTGGAAGGTCCACTATAGCTTGTCTACAAATGCTGAAATGATCTGGTGAAACTCACTGGCAGCCTACAGTTAGAGTTAGGTTGAGGATTAGGATTAGAAGCAGGGTATGGGTTAAGATTAGTTTTAGGTTTGAGGTTATGGTTAACATTAGAGTTAAGGTGAATAGATGCTCAGTCGAATGTAAAGACAGTGACAGACCAAATAAAATTGTACCCTGTTTTTGATTTACTGCCCTTTAACTTTGGCACATGTCACGTAGTCAGATTTGAACCTGCAATCTTTTTGACCTTTGATTTAAAATTGAATACGTTACACGGAACATGTGCGTATGACCCAGTCGCCCAACTCATCACACCAGCTCTGTTTCATCTCTAGTGAGATGAACGTGGCAAGATTCATATAACTAGCTGTAATCCACAGTCCCTCGAGACTGTTTTGTGTGTTTGGTGTCATTATCTGACCGATGATGGAGATAGCTACATGATCAGCTGCTCAGTTGCAAAAGAAAAGCACAGCTGAAGTGTTCATACAGCAAGGTAGTATTAAAAAAATCAAAATAAAAAATAATTACAATAAACCCATTCATGTCCATCAACCAAATTTAGCATGAAAAAGGGAAAATGTCACAAAATTTGTTCTGATTTACAGTTGTACAGTTATTTGTTGCATGAATATCTAACATCAGCCATTTGATTGTGTTTAAAATCAAGAATCTAATGTGTCCAAAAGAATGAATTTAATATAAATAAATCAAGTTATAAACACTCACTTTTTGCTTTTTGTTTTGATTGATTAAAAATATCTTCAGATTTGCATTTAGGCAAATATGGTCTTTAATATAGACATGAATCTGTGATACAGTATTCAGTTTCCTGGCAAAACAATGATTTTCAATGATTATGCAAGAATACATGCCCAGTTTGTTCGTTTTTCAGTTCTGCGCACAACAACCATCTATGGCACTGAAAGAACAGTAGGCACTCCCAGATTTGGACCCAAGCTTCCTCCGAGCTTTTCACCTTGAATGTATAAGATGTACTGGGAGCTGCTGACATACAGAACATACAGTCTGATTTTTTTCCTTTTTTCCTGCTTGACTTCTCCAGTCATTCTGCTTGTGCTGAAATAGATCACTTGTTTTGATTAAGGTTGGTCTTCAGATGGATGTGTCATTGTCGCCATTAAAATGATTGTGAAATAACTTTAAGTCCATTTCAAAGTAGATGTTTTGTTTTCCCTGGAAAGGACCCGAGGCCGAACATATTTTAGACATCAAACCAGGTGATCACTGATAATAATTTACATCATCCTCCTCAATCCATTTTTAATAAAGCACATAATTAAATTTGGACTAAAACCCTTTCCTTTGTAAACTGAAGCCTTGCAGCGTAAGAACATGAGCGTGTTTTGGTTATTTGATCCATTTGCTTGATCGCTGTAATGTAGACGTGTTTTGCACATTTGGAGGGCAATTTATCAGGCAAAGTGACAGCAGCACTTGATCACATCTCAAGAAGGTGGGGTCTGATATTTATTTATTTATTTATTTATTTATTTAAACATAATAAACAAGAAAATGTTTGCATTTTTCCTTTTCCAACTTTGAGGCTGCAGCATTGCACAACAATATGAAATCTTGAAATCTTCTTAATCTTATAATTCAATATTCTAGTTTAAGAAAAATCTTTTAATTGTATTATTTATTCATTAGCACTTTATTTAAACATATTTTTCCTGTAAACACACTTATTTCCTATGTATTTAAATAACAATAAACATTAAAAAATCCATGAACGTGATGGCAAATGAAGTCTTTATGATCTCTCCACAGCTGAAATATGATTGACAGGTGATTTGTATTTATTTATTTATCTATTTATTATCATGGGGAACATGAAGAGCATAAAGACTGGAGTTCTAATGGCAGTAAAATACACTTTAACTATGAGCCTTTCCTGCTGTCTTTTTATTTCCTTTTGTGTTCTGTTAAATGTATTGTGTTGGAGATTGTGAGTTGGAGATTTGCGCTTGTTTGTCAGTGTTGTGTTTTAACTGCAGCTTGCTCTTCATTAGAAAACAAGCTTATAAATTGATGTGTTTTTAGATTTGAGTAAGTCCGATTAACACAGCTTGCAATAAACCTCTTAACATGTCTTACTTTTCTTACAGAAATTAATATTCACCTGATTTGGTCCAACCTTACAACAACAAACAAACATACAAACAAAAACATTCTGTTTGATCTCTGATTATTGTCCTTCTGAAGGTTTAGCAGTGGGCTGAAGCTTTAACAGAGTGATGAAGGCTGTACAATCATCTTCCTCATGTGAGACTGCACACTGCTGGTGAATGTCCTCATGCTGCTTACAACACGTCTCTGAATCTTTAAAGCGAAAAAACAAGAGCTCAGCCTTCGTTTTCCTCTAAAAGCTCATACGAGTGGCCTTTAATATTTGATAAGAGCCAAAGAAGAGGCCCCAGCAAACAGACACAAAAATGCAAATGAACAACAGCACAGTGCGAACATGGACAGCAAACTTCACCTGCTCACGATGCGTGTGCGTGTGTGTTTGTGTGGGGGGGTGAGAGAGAGAGAGAGAGGGAGAGAGAGAGAGAGAGAGACAGTGCATGATATTCTAAAAAAAATTACAGTCGAATAAGTGTGTGTGTTTGTCAGTTGTAATATAGAAAATTATAAAGAATCACAAAGTTTTATATAGAATTTATAGATTTACTGTCAATATGACATTATTAATTTTATTATTATTATTATTATTATTATTAGTAGTAGTAGTAGTAGTAGTAGTAGTAGTAGTAGTAGTATCTTCTGAAAGATAATAATAGATAAAAAAAGATCAAATTAGTTTTCTGACTATTAGTATAATAGCATTAGTGTGATCCTCTGAAATAATAGAGCCATAGTTAAATGTAAGGAATAGAACACCAATGAAAGAATTAAAATAATATTAAAACCATTTAAAAACAATAATGCATTATTATTATTATTATTATTATTATTATTATTATTGTTATTGTTATTGTTAGTGTTGTTATTATTGTTATTATTATTATTATTATTATTATTATTATTATTATTTCATATCTTCCAGTCAAAGTTTCATTCACTAAATAAATGGCTGTTTGTCCATTACACAAATACTGTCTGGCTAATTGGATCACACTCAACACTTTTTTCCAGTTTAGTCTGAGAGACGGAGGACAAAAACACTCTTGCTTGATAAAAGTCGAACTCAATTGGAGGGCAGGTCCCTTCATCTGTAAATGAAACACAATTACGTCCAGCCCATATGATATTCTATTAGATTATATGGCGCTGGCCGGTCTCTGGATAGTCATCAATCACCTCCAATCGAGCTGTCACACACTCTCCTCACACAGAGCTCCGCTCCAGCTGGGGGGAGAGAGAGGAGGAGGGCTAACATCATCATTAATTTGAGTGTGTGAGCCCGGGGGCCCCTTGCATGTCCAAGCAAGACACACACACACACACACACACACACATACACACACCCAAAGCAGTTCTCCTGTTCTTTACTGTAGAACTACAATAAGGAGATGTGCACTAAGAATGAGTGGAAAAGTTTTAGATGTGGATGTGTAAGAAGGGCAAAAATAGCTTGTAATGCAAACACACATCCATACATAGTGAAGAAAATGAAGCAGTAAAGAAATGCATTGCAACATAATGCAGAAGAGCACAACTTCAGCCCACATGCTGCTGCAGCATTCCATTCATTACTATTCACATCCAGCACCCCCATTAATGATCACTAATTAATTAGTGCTCTAATGAATCTCCCATTAAATCACATTAAAAGCCATGAAAGACCACAGCTCTGATTTCTGCCAAATATTGTTTCCCTTTCAAAGCAGGAGCTGAAAAGCTGAGATTAATTGGTGAGTCCAATTACAAGTACATGGTGTGTTTAAAAAAGAATGAGAGGAAGACTCGCACCCCCCAACCCAGAGCAACCCAGCCCATCTTCCCCATCACTGGCTCCATTTTTTCCTCCCCACAAATGCATATTAAAGTTAAGAGTCCTGCTCATTTTTTGAGAGGCTTTTTCGTCTGACGTCAGAGTCACAGGACGTTTAAAACATCGTGCGTCCGGGCTGACGTCTTTTACACTACTTTTATTATTTTTTATCCAAAAAAAGAAAAGAAAACAGAAAAAAAGAAAACACAAAAATATGCATTTCTGACATGGAAATGATGAATTGCTGGCAAGCACCACAATGTGCTCCACACCGGGCGACTGCGCAGCTTTAAGTGAGTGAGGAAAGAGCGCGCTTTTCTGCAAACCACACACATTTTTTTGGTGCAGCTCGTGCCATGACACTGGTGCGCTGCGTCCCGTGAACGAGCTGCTGTGCTTTTTTCTTTTCTTTTCTACCTCTCTCTCTCTCTCTCTCCTTCTCTCTCTCGCTCGCTTTCTCTTTCCTTCGCTGTCTGGACCCTGCCATGTCCTATCCACAGTTTGGATACCCCTACTCGTCTGCGCCACAGGTAAGACCCGTCCCGGGACGCTTTTCGTTGCGTTTCTCCTGCACGTTCGTCGCCTCTTCGTGCGCTCGTTGCTCGTTTTCCGGGGGCGGCTGACGGGTAGGAGAGGTTCTGCAGGGTGGGGAAGCCTGTAGATGGGCTACTGTGGGTTGGTTCGGTTGACATTTTACCGCGTGGCTCCTGTTTTTTTGGCGTGTTTTGGGGAAGCTGTGAGCTACAGAGCAGGAGGGAGAACAAGTGGTGTGGGTGGCAATGATCCACAAATGCTGTGTCCTTGGGGGACTGAAGTGTGCACATTGCCAAAAAAGAAAGAAAAAAACGTATTTTTTACTGCTCTCGTTGAGACGCGCCTTATCACCTGATCGAATACGGTGTTCCGTGCCAAGTTTGCAAAACCTGTAGTGCTGCAGTCGCTCTAAGAGTTTTCAAACTGAAAGAAATGAACACTGTTTATGTTCATTCAGCTCAGCTGGTCTTATTGCAACACTCAGTATTTAGAAAAAAGCTTTGTCGCTTCCGTTCAGAGAAACGTTCACCTGTCAAAAATGTTGTTTTGTTGTAAATTTGTAGTTTATTTGCTGCACAGTAACATCTCCAGTGTTGAGTTCACTCAAAGCGTTTCTTTATGGACTCGAGCGCTATTTAAGCTGTTAATTTAACTCTGTATGTCTTCATTCAACGCTGTACAGGTGTGAGTTAAATAAATTATATACTGAGGTTTTTGTTGTGCACTCATGAAGTGAGGGACGTTCAAAATGTTTTATTGCTTCTCTTGAGAGATGCTTTATCGCTCATAAAACAGAAGTGTGATTTCTTTAGAATTTCGTGGTTTATGTACTGAATTCACTCTCACAGTGTTTGTGTTCACTTGGACTTAAATGAACACTGTGGCTATCAGTCCAACACTGTAGATGTTGTTTAGTGTTAATGTACCCCCCAAAAAATAATAATAATTACTGTTCCCCTTCAGTAAACAAATTAAATTTCTCATATTTCTTGCCAGTTTATATGCTGCACTATAGCACTGTCAGTGTAGAACACTGTAGATCTTAATGTCAGACTGTACAAATCAATGTAACACTGTACATCTTGATGAGCACTGCAGGTCCTAATAAACACTGTAGATGTTAATGAACACTGGAGGTTTTAATTCACATGGTTTATGCTGTGCAGCCTCCAAACCTGAACTTTTATTTTTTCCTTTAATTTTGCAAACGCACTGTTGTTTCCTTTTTGCCTGGACTTTAATCCCACCTGCCTCTCTTTCTCTGTCTGTCCCTCTAGTTCCTCATGACCACCAGCTCTCTGACCTCTTGCTGCGAGTCGAGCTCCAGGTCCGTGCCGGACTCAAGCATGGCCGCCTCGGCACAGCCTCCAGTCTACTGCCCTGTGTACGAGAGCAGGCTGCTGGCCACTGCTCGACATGAGCTGGTCTACGGCAGTCCATACACCAGCGGCCAGGGCTACGGCAATTATGTTGCCTATGGCACAGACGCCTCAGCTTTTTATTCACTGGTGAGTTCCTGCTTTTTATATGTTTTCCTTTGCATTTTTTCTCATATATATATATATATATATATATATATATATATATATATATATATATATATATATATATATATATATATATATATATATATATATATATATAATATATGAGAAAAAATGCAAAGGAAAACATATATATATATATATATGTGTGTGTGTGTGTGTGTGTGTGTGTGTGTGTGTATAGCAAATCTAGTTCTTCCTGCACTAATGTATATATCTATACTTATGATTGATGTGTAACTGTAATTCAGTATTTGCAAACTAAAGTCCTGAACAGCACTAATAAACTGTACTGTTTGCACTGCAAGTTTGCGTAAGAAGTGAATGGAAGGATGGAAGGGTCTTATAAAAGTATTGTCAGTTGCAATGAAAACAGGATGACTGAAAAATGTATGTTGTGTTTGATTGCAGGGAGCATTTGACACAAAAGATGGGACGGCCTCTGCGCATGCAGGGATCACTCAGGCTGCTGCCTACTACCCCTATGACCCCACCCTGGGGCAGTACCAGTATGACAGGTATTGAATATTGGTCTTCATTACTTGGTTTGGCAATTGCCAATTAACGTGCACAAGACAAGGCTGATCCATCTCAAAGGCTTGTGATGTTGCATATTGATTGAATAATTACGAACTAAATAAATTAATGAATGCACTTTTTGTGTTACTGTAACTGTTCTACTTTGGTCAAGTCAGCTTACATTTCTCAGTGAAGTTCAGGTCTATCACAATGGATTTGGGTTGGTGTCACTTACTATTGGAGTTTCATTGGACTCATTTGAACATAAACGTTTAACTTAATTGTGGTTAAAAAATATTTTTCAGTATTGTTTTCTGTCAATACTGGCTGATAATCAGTGCTGTTGATAAATAATATATATAAATCTTCAGAAAGTTTTCAGAACTTACATGTACTGCTGGGAAGAAAGGAAGCTGGTAATTAAAACCTGATCTACTTCAAACATACATGATGTTTTAAATATTTACAGTATTTATACCAGAAAGTTTAATATGAAAGCAGACTGTGGAAGGGAATCTAACACAGTTTCAGCTGAATAAGTTTGATTGGAGTCAATCATTAGATTTCTATGCTCACTTTAGCTCATAAATTGCAAATGCCTTTTACTCTACTTTTGCTTTTAACCCACATGAAGGTGCATTACTACAGAAGTTGGCAGTTTAAATGTTTATTTCATAGACCTCCCCAAGGGCTTTTGCTCCGTAGATGGAGTATAGAGCATGAGAGACCTATTTGTGATGTTCCTCTGAAGGTTTGCTTTCCTCTACTGTAGATATGGCTCCATGGATGGAGGGACCAGGAGGAAAAACGCCACTCGTGAGACGACCAGCACGCTGAAGGCCTGGCTGCAGGAGCACAGGAAGAACCCCTACCCCACCAAGGGTGAGAAGATCATGCTGGCCATCATCACCAAGATGACCCTCACCCAGGTCTCCACGTGGTTTGCCAATGCCAGGAGGAGACTCAAGAAGGAGAACAAGATGACCTGGCCACCAAGGAACAAGTGCTCAGATGAGAAGAGATACGGGGAAGATGAAGAAGGCTCACAAGAGGATCAAATAAAAAGCGAAACGAATGATGACGGTCAGCTTCATTTCCTTGCCTTCATGCATATTTAACAGCCAGTAAACTGTTTGGTGGAAGGAAAATCCATCTTACAGTATTTATGTCCAGATGGACCTCTGTGAACACTGTAGATTCTAATTGAACTCTGTAGGTCTTAATCCAGTGTTCATTACACAGGAGGTTCTTTACATCTCATTCACAAAAATGTTTTTTTGAACATTCATTGATAAGTTATTTAGGGAACCATAAGGTGGCTTTTATGGCATCGCTCCAAAGAGCCATTTGGTTCCATTAGGAACTTTTATTTTCAAGACTGAAAATTGCAACACTGCTTTTTTAGTATATAATAGTATATAATTATGTAGGCTGAAAACTCGATTCTTTGGTACATTTGTGGATTATAGAGGACACAGTAATATCTGAAAAAATATATTTTATTTAGTGTTGAGGCTTCTGTTTGATTTTCTACTAAATACATGTTTTCTGCTTTTTTCCTGAATCAGAAAAATCAATAACTTGACATTAAATTAGTCTTTTGCAAAGTACTGTACCTTGTTGGTCCATCTTGCAGATGTAAAGTTAGAGCTGAGAGCTTATCTATTGCTACAGTTTGTGTTAGTCATCCTCTAGTCATCATTGGTCAGTTTCTGGATGCTATAGGCTGGATATTTTTGGTTGGAAGACTATTCTGATTATTTGGACGTATCTGAACAGCTTATTAAAGTACACTTCTTGTTTCTTTCTTTGTCAGAGAGCAGAAGTCGAGAGGATAAGGACCTTCAGCTGAGCGACCTGGACGACTTTGACGCCATCGAGTCAGAAAGCTCTGAGTGTGAGCTGAAGCATCAGTTCCACATGAACGCGCACCCGCCCAGCACCGAGCACCTCAAGGACACTTCCCTAAAATTGTCCATTGGACCCTCACTGGAGGTGGACCGCGACCTGGCCAAGAGCTGCTTAAAAACCGCAGCTGCCGAAGACCTGGAGCACGACCCAGGTGACATGCGGCAGACCAAGACCTGCTTCCAGCAAGGTCACCAAGTGCTGGACAACAAACCACGAATTTGGTCACTGGCCCAGACCGCCACCTCATTGAACCAGACAGAATACCCATCCTGCATGCTCAGATGCCAGCCGGCCATGCCCTCCTCCCCTGAGGCGTCATCACCCACCAGTGGCCTGGACAGACAGCAGGACTCCCCAGTCACAACCCTTAGAAACTGGGTGGACGGGGTTTTTCATGACCCCCTGTTTAGACACAGCACTTTGAACCAATCGCACACCAACACATCAGTTTCTTGGACCATGACCAAAGGCTCCATCCTGGAGATGGGCGCACCGGAGCGCACGGCAGGAAGCAACGGGATAAAAGGACACACCATTGCTTTGCAGCATCAAGAGGCCAATAAGGATAACATGGCTTTCCCCAAAGCGATGAACAAAATGTTTTGCTCCTAACCCACCTGAACAACATCTGCACAAAGAAAGATGCATTTGGAATATGCTGTTGTGACAGTTGATGAGAAAAGAAATGTTGATCTGTGTTTGGATGGGTCCAAAAAGCTATTGGACATTTTTTTAAAATATGCACATATATATATATATTTGCTTGACCATGGGGAATTGTATGTAGTAACTGTTCTGTTGACATTTCATTTCTGATGGGATCAGTTTACTAATATATATATTTATATATTTTCTTCTTCCTCTGTTAAACAGCGCACGTTAAGATTATGTAAATGTACAACTGGAAGTTTACTTTTTGAAAAAGAAAAGACGTTTACAATTTAGTTGTATTTATTTGTTTGTTTGTTTTTTTCTTTGGCATGCATATGTTGGTAATCTTTATGGGACTTTTTCTTTAAAACTCGGTCATGAATTGGACGACTTGCATATCACTGTAGAAAAAAATAAGAAAAGAAAAGAAACGAAATCTTACACAAGTAGCCTACACACAACTTTCCTTCAGACCTGGGGGCTGTTTTAAATTTGTTCACCATAATAAAGGGTCGGTTTCGGCTGAGCACGTCTTGTCCTTGTGTGATAGAGGGTGCTGTCCGTGGTGCTGAAATACTGAATGCTGATGGACTTTCTGCGTCTACCTTGTCCTCGTCCTCCTGCTGTCTTATCATGATTTTAATTTAAACAGGAAAAGGTATTTTGCAATGCACTGGTTTTTACTTTATCATTTTTCTGTCCTCAAAATTTGCCGTGTGATGTTTATAATATTTGAAATGTTAGATTTATAATGAAACTGAAAATGCAATTGATTTATTTGGCCCTAATAATCAAAATAAGAACTTGTATTTTCATAAAATACACCTGATATGCTTTACAATGTACCTAAAATTGCCCTCTCTATTGGGTTTTAATAGCAGTCAATCACTGTGTATCTGTATGTGTGGAGGAGCAGTAAGGATGGGCCTCATTAACCCAGGTAATTGGGATGTAGTCTGTCATATCTTGCCTCAACTTATTGATTACTTCACTCTTGGTGATAATATTATCGAAACCATCAAATCCCCCTCACTGATGCTTCTGTCAAAGGGCCAGAGTTTTCCAGGTCAGGCTGCTGATACTGGCTTACAGCACAGATCATTGGAAGTGATTTTTTTTTTTTATTCCTGACACTTAACCCCTCAATTTCTGGAGCTTCTCTCTCTTCTCCAGTATCGCCGTCAGTGAGAGACTTTTTCCCCCCACCCGGGGCACGTCTGGAAGTGAAAAGGGCAAGAGAACGTGAATTAGTTGCTTCAGATAAAAGGGCAAAAACAGGGAGTCGAGGGTAAGACTTGACAGTGATGGTAAAATTGTCGTCCCACGGGGGAAGGTGTCCGGCCAGAGGAGCCTCAATAATGAATTTTAATGCCAAAGGCAAAAACGATTGAGATCTTCTGTCCTCTTGAACAAAGGGTATTTTCTGTTTGATAGAAAAGAAAGGTGGAACATGTTTATTTGTGAAACATAGTAGATCAGATCAAGATAGAGCAATCTTTTTTAACAGATACCTTTTAGGCTGCACAACAAACAGAAATAAATGTGTCTGAATTTCTAAATAAATAAACCAGAACACGAAATGCTTATTATACTTCAATTATAATTTAACAAACAAGAGGTTTGTGCTCATCTGAAAAAGTCTACAAAACCCCTTATTATTATTATTATTATTATTATTATTATTATTATTATTATTATTACTGTTGTTAGCAGTAGTAGTAGTAATGAAAAATAACATTTATAATAGAATAATAACACATCATTGTCCATCACTATCATCAACCATTAGTGACACCTATTTCTGTTGATTAATAAAAAATTTAATTATAAACAACAATAATATCAATAATAATATTATTATTATTATTATTATTATTATTATTATTATTATTATTATTATTGTTGTTGTTGTTGTTGTTGTTGTTGTTCTTGTTGTTATTGTTATTAAACGATAAGATAGTAATAATTGATAGAGAATATCTGAATCAAACATAACATTTAACAATCATAACAATCATGTAACAACTAGGAGAATAGTGTGTGAGTGTATGATGTATATATGTGTGTGTGTGTGTGTGTGTGTGTGTGTGTGTGTGTGTGCGTGTGTGTGTGTGTGTGAGAGAGAGAGAGAGAGAGAGATGGGGCTGTGCAGCCTGACTAAATCATTCAGCCGTGCCAAATTCAACCACACAGTGGATGGGGAATGCTAAATTAACAACGCCTTTTTACATAGGGGCCAAATAAAACTGTAATCAGCGGCGCGTTACTTTTCATTAAGCGAGTTTGACAGCAGCACCATTCAGCCTCGACGTGGGAGAGCAGGGGCCGGGCAAATAAACTGCTCTCCAACCCAGAGTCATAAGATAATTCCTAAAGCTCCATTAACAACTCTTAGCCTCGGGAAATGGGCTCCCTGAGAACATCTCCAGATCTAAAAGCTTTATCGACCTGCGCAAACCTCCACTGATGGTTTCCTTGTTTTTTTGTTTTTTTTTCCTCCATTTATTTAATTTATTTATTTCTGTTCAACTTAAGGGACAGGGACGTCCAGTGGTGGTAATAGACTTCGACACAACACATTAACCGGAGAAGGAGAAACGGGGCGAGTAAAGAGGAGGATTTAAAGCTTTAAGCGACCAATTAAAGGGTCTTTTAGGTCACTTGCAGCCACATGGATGAAGACTTGAATGCATAATTGTAGGCCTTTAAAAATGACTGATGCATGTTGCAGTTAAAGATATCTCACCCAGTGTTTCCCAATCTCAGCCATTTAATCTCCCTGTACTGCAAATTGTCACACTCAGATAAAAATCTTGTATGTCCACTCATTACCAAACCCTTCATGAAGTTAAAATGTGTAGAACAAGGCAAGTAACTACAATAACAGGACTGAGCAACACTACAGCGGGAAGCCTGAAAAATAAAATTTTAAATCTAGTGCTGTTTAATTAGTGATTATGGCCTGTTCTTTTATCTGAATGTCATTAAAGAAGCAGTTTGCAGTGAAGGTCTGCTATGACAATTCAGTACATTTCAGCTGTATTCGAAAGGGGCAAATACTGTCTAAACCACCATCTTTAGTCCAGCACTGATGGTCACAGTATGAAGTAGCCAGCAAATCTCCTCTCTTATATCTGCCAGTGATGCTGCTTATGTTTGGACTCCTTTAGATTTCTGATGTTTAATCGTAAATATGCCTCAAAAAAAACAAAAAAAACAAACAAAAAACCTCTTACACCTGTATGAGATTATACAGGGATACTTTGAAAACACCTTGCATTGAACAGCCTTGGCTATGAATTTAATTTGTATAGCTGTTTCTGAAACAATTGTTTCAAAGCAGCTTAGAAAAATGTAGGTCCAGACCCCTAATGATCAAGCTGAGGGGATCCAGACCACCAATGATCAAGCTGAGGGGATGCAGTGTCAGAAAAACTCCTTAAGAGCATGAGGGAGAGACACTGACAAGAACCAAGTCTCAAAAGGGAAAAACTCATCCACTTCTGGACCACACCAGACAGTGGAGTTAAGACAATGTTTACATGCCTGCCAGAGACAATGTAGTTAAACTATCAGGATATTTGGTTAAAATAATATTTAAGAAAAACTGTCCTGGGTTCAGAACGTAAGGCGTAACAACATGTTACCTCATGGTCACCCTCAAATTAAATTTTATACCCTTTGTGAATGAAGTTTTGACTGAACAGAGGATGGGGACAAAACTGGCCACAACTGAACTGAAGACAATGACTGCATGGCCATGTGTATTTGCACATCATTACGAACTCGGGCTTCGTGTTTGCAGCAGAGGCCGAATTATCAGCGCACGTTTGGTCTTAATTAATCTGTGGGAAAGCTAATTAATAAAAAAGCAATTACCTCCTTTTGCACGGGCCGGGCTGTGAAACGCTGACGCAGCGATTAGGCTGAACATTGGCTTCAGTTAATGACATTACGGCCACCCACAAACACGCCTTGATACGACTCAGGAAAGTAGAGTCCTATCTGAGAGAAGACACAGAACTCTTTGTGCTTCATATTAGGCCAACATATATCAGTAGACACTTCTACTGCATAGGGGGTTGCAGTCAAATCTGGTTCATTTTGCTGTACTTAGGAGCAATTTGTGTGGACACACATTGTTGTCATATTCATGATATGTATGTATTAAAACTGTAAAATACACATAGACAATTATGCACTGGGCAAAATATGCTCAACAAATCAAAGCCATCTTATGTATTAATAATTAAGAAGCAGCTCACCTTTGTCAGCTTTGTCTTCTCTCAAGCAGCGTCATAATTAGGCACCTGTTGGCTGCCGAAAACTACATGGTGGGGGTCGTCCACATTAAAATGCATAAATATAAACATTTACTTTACTAATGTTGGGTGATTTACAAACAAATTTCAAATATTTAAGCATAAGCATAAGAGCATAGCGCTCGTATTTCTGTGTTTTTATTTGCCAGTTTTTGACATAATTTGAAAATACCTGTTGCCCTTTACATTGTATGTAAATTTCATGATGATTGGACCAAAAAAATGGCCCAAAATTACTTGGACAAAAAGTCTGGTTCCATTGACTTACAATAAAAGTACAATATGTTTTTTCCTTCTCCTGTAAAGTTACTATTTTCGAGATACAAGGTTTTGTTCCGACTGCAGCTAAAAATGTAAAAGTCTTTGAGGTTATGAAAAGCATATATTCAATCAAGTGCATTGAAACTTTTCAAAACCATATGTATGGTATGTTCATGTAGGATGGCAGAGTCATTCTGGTAGGCTCACAAATTCAGATTTCACATGAAAACCAGCTGAAGATATCAATATCAACTGCTACTATTGTGATGACCAATAAAAACACTCCATGCCCCTTTCTCCTCTGACATTTCCAATATGTCACCATGTAAATAAATAGGACTTTTTTCTATACAATGATGCATATATATTAGGAGGTACTCCCATAGATTCAATGACCCTTGCCACTTTGCTTTCAATACACCACATGTAATGTTAAATAATGATATACAAAGCAAGGCAAATGATCTGTTTAGCCCTCTGTTTGGGTGCTGCCACTGTTACACCAGTCGATAATAATAATCTCAAATAAAAAATGACATGCAAAAAGCCACTCGTGTTTTCAGGCGGGTGCGAGA